CAGGAAGATGCTAATAAAAACCACAGACCAAGAGGCAGAGTCTCTTGGAGCCATCACGAATTCCACCCTTTTCTTGTTGCTGATCTTTCCTTTTTTAAAGGCACACCTTTAATATATATATATACTAGTATCTATTTTTGGTTTTGGTTTTCATGAACGTAAACCAGATTCTTATTTCAGGCAGCAAAACCAGTTATTTCGAAAAAAGCCAATACTAAAAAAATCAAAGCATTATTTGGTCACCTGTGGAATCCATTAGATCCCCCTCTCCCCTGCCCTTAAGTGCTTCATGGTTTTTTTATTCAGTCAACCTAAAACAATGCCTCTTTTCACCATTACCTGCCTGTTCTCGGTCTGCAGCATGGCAGTGCCATTGACCATGGGGCGCTTTGGCAATCGGAGTTCTTTTCCAGTTGGTCTGGGCTCCCTTTTCTATTTCCCTCAGTCCTGAACTGCAGAGCATCGGCCAAGGCAATGCTGTCACATCAGGAGGGGCAGAGGGTTTGCTAGGGTCATGGTCCTCTCAGCTTTGTGCCTTAGAAGCACCTCCTGGAACCTGGGGGTGGTGTGGAGACCAGACATAAGGAAAAAGACTTGGGAGGGCCTGCCTCTGGCTCTTCTCCCACCTCTGCCGTAAAAGACGGGATGATTTGAGCTGCTTCATTGCCACCAAACTACACCCTTGGGTTTGTTTTTTCTTTAAGTGATCTCGTGAGGCCAGTGGGGGCCTCTGTCTTGATTAATGATGATTATCCTCTAACAGCAGTTGGATATGGTGGCTTGGTGCAAGTTTTTGACAAAGAAAATTAGGCTCTGAAAAACATTTCTCATCAGAAACTGTAAGTATATTAAAATGCATTTAAAAGTTACTTCTGGGAAACATATTAAATAGGTCAATCATTTAATCATTTGTTAAATGTCAAACTCTATAAAATCATGGTATAATGTCACCCTGACATAAAGCAACATCAAAATTAGTGCATCATCTATAAAGTGAAGTATCATTTGCCTTTAAGTGACAAATTCTACTGCCAAAAAATACCATTATACTTCTAATAAGTGACATTCATTTTAATAGACCCTACAAAAATACAATATTTTCAATGTCCCCATAAAACATTTAACTTACAAATATTATTCTCAGAGCTTCAGTGACATCAATATGGGCTACTACTGTGAAAAATCCTAATAGAGGACTTGAAATACTAGTGTGCAAAGTAAATTTATAATATATATATATATTAAAAACAGCTATATGGAAATATGAGATATAATTCATACAACTTTGGGAAATTATTCTAAAATTTCAAATTAATAGTTTAATCAAATTAATGATAAATATATAAAAGAAATGTGTTTAAAGGATTATAAAATGAATTTATTTATTTTTTTATTGAGGAAAACAGTTCTAATGTAAAAATAACTAAGTCCATATGAACTATGCTTGTCTTTTTCTCCAGTGAGACAAAATTCAGGATTTTATATACTTTGAAACTTTTTTGAAACAAAAGTATTTTCTCTATTTCTGCCCACAAAAACAGGCATCAAAATGAATACTACAGGTAGACTATCGCTCTGAGAAATTATATTTGAAGTTTCATATTTAAATACCAAAGTTTTTAAATCTCCCACATTAACTTTCTAACAGCAGTTTTTCTTAATGATAAATTTTATCAATCCCCAAAACTCATTTCAAAGTATTTAAAAGTAGCAAATTAGAGAAAGCAACACACAAATAAATTCCACATTTACAAGTAAAGAAATCACAAGGGTTACAGTTTATAATCAATATAAACTTGAAAGAAATAAAGCAATACTTTTCCTGCCACCCATCATCCACTGCTTAAATTTGTGGTGAAAAGATTTACCTATAATGACCTTTAGTCTGTGTTTTAACTCTGCAGATTCTGTAATTAATTAGCTAAAGGCATTGAATAAATTAGTTCGTCCTAGTTTTTATTCAGGTCCCAGAGATAAATGGCTAACTTATGAAATATTTCACTCTGTGTTATGAGAATTTAGCAAATGAATATGGAACCAAATATAAACACTTTATACCATATGTACAGTTACTTTCATAAGGCATTATCATGTAATTTTTATTGAAAAAGAGTCAATATAGTAAAGTCTTATTTTAAGATATATTTTCTTTCTCAATCCGAGGTGTTTAGTTTATGAAAATATTGTTTTGCTCTATATTCTTTTTTTGTGTATATGCCAACATATACCTTGTGCTAGAAATATTTAATGGGAATTACAATTCTTCATATTTGTATTTTCTATATAAAGGCAGATACAACATTGAGGCAGTGTTTCTGATGGAGAGCAGAATTTGTAAAGAGCTTGTGTGTGCTTCCGTGCTTCCGAAATCATATGAAATCCACTTTGAGAAGAAACTTATTTGGTTAAAAAAACAAACCAACAACAACAAAAAAAACTGCACCAATGCACAGCCAGAGGCTGACAATTAAAACTAATACATAACCACATGAACATCATATTTATATAGTTAACATTTGTAAGGATGATCAGTGCTAACATATAGTATTATACATTTGGCACTAATGTTTGCCATTGGTCCAGCAATTGGCAAAATTTGTCTCTATGTATAAATTTATTTTTGAACATTAGGTCTGGCTAGACGTTATCTTCACTATTTATAAAAAATATTCAGACAGTAAGCTCACGTTGAATAACTAGGTCTACTGTGTTCTGGAAACTCTTCAGTAGTAATACAGCTTTTTCATGTTCCATATGTACAAAACTATGTCCATTTGCCTGTAAATATGCAAATAAAACAGGGCAATCAATGCAAGACATTTGTTTATCACTTCATCACAGTTTCCAATCATAAGAGTCAAGGGAGTATTGAGCAACCAAAAGTTAGCAGTTTAAAAACTCACAATAGAATTGCAATTGTGGAAACAACTAATTAATTTCACCCAGCTTCAACTCTATTAACTCAACAAATGTTTTTCAAGTACCTAGCATGTTCTACCTAGGACCGTCCTAGTGTAGTCTTAGCCACTGTGCTAACTGCAGAAACGCACTGGTGAAGAAAAGACATTCTTGAAATACGGCACTAGCTCAGTGTTGTTCTGATTCATTTTGTTTTTGCAGGAACTTAGTTGAGACGGTTCTGGTGTTCACAGGACCACTGCCTACTTGATACAAGCCCGTCTGCATGGTCAAGTCAGTCATGCAAAACATGACAAATCTTATTTTGACTCACTTGAAAGTTCTTACCTTGTACATTTTTATATTAAAGAGGTCATTTTTATTCCCCCCCATTGTTAAATGCAAGTATATCCATTAACTACAGCAGTGGTTCTCAATCCCATCCCAGGGATAAGGCACACTGACATTAGTGACAGTGGACATGCCCACCATTCTTCTAGTCAAGAATCCTCAAGCTATGCAATCAAAATTCATTTTAAGCACAATTAGCTTAAGGTTTCATTTTCAGGATTCAAATGGGCTATTGTTTGATATTTATTTCACAAAATGAATGTGCTTCTTTGTAGTGAGTGCTCATGGGTCTTTGGTTTTTCTCTACATTAAATTGCAGATTTTCTTGATTGAGTGAATTTTATTATTAATAAAGAGAGAAGTGGATCCCATAAAGCTTTTCTGTCATGAAGGCCAAAATAAAAGACAACCTTACTGAAACATGGAAACTGTGTGAGTGACAGCTATGTAACTGTTCTCCTGTGGTCTGAGACTCAGTTGATTTGGAAGAGCCAGCCCAATTGGCTGCTTGGCAAAGTACAAGTAATAGAGCCAGTTAATTGGCTGATTGTTTTCAATTTTCAGTTGACTGAGACTAATTTGGGGCACCCATTGCATTTGTGATTCTACCTTTTTATGCTTCCTTAAAATATGATTAATTTAATTTCAAATAACCACTCATTTAAGGTATTTCACACCTTTGGGTTTTTTGAATTTAAAACAGCACTACTATATAATCTTTAGAGCTTAGGTGAAAGTTGTCTGCTTAATTTATCACTAGTTCATTAAAATTGGTTGGTTAATGACATGATAAAGAAGGCCCTAAAATATTGATTTTTTTTTAAAAAAAAACCATTGTACATCTCTGAATAAGGAAAATACTGGGACACAAAAATGTAAACTCATGGAAAAATATGTACAAATTTATTTTAAATTAAAGAATCTTTCTCTCTTTATATATATTATTTAATAACATTTACTTAATGCTATCAGAGTTGGTACTGGCTGTTTCTGTGGCAGGTAATAGTAGCTGTGTGTGTTCACAGCCCAAATTTCTTGCCTTAATTTATGGTACAAAACAGACAACTGGGTTTCACTTGATGTTATTTGATCAGGTGGTGAAGTGGAATAGAGAATAGCATATGGTACATTCCGCTTTTTACTTTCCTGATTCTGACATCAGGAAAGTAGCAAACTTGGGCGAAATATAGTATGTTTATCCCACTATACTTTTGAAGGTCATACTAACTACTTTAATTTGGCCACAATTTAAATACCTTAATTTAAAATTTAACTAATAATGGAATTCTTGAATGTCAAATCTTAAAAATAACTAGATTTGTGAGTGCTCAGATTTCTCTAGCTGCAGACTAAAAAACTAGAATTGCAATGACCTCAAAATTCACTGAGAACTTTCAGGGACTTGTTCAAAATTTAAATATTTCATTGTCTGGGGAGAAGGAATGCTCTAGTATTTGGAGCCCATGCATGGTATATTGTCCATTATCACATCTAATCATGGTTTTAGAAACTATTGTCACAAAATAATAGGGCATAAGTGGTACAAAACTCAGATAGCTAACTGGTCATAGTTGTTAATTCTGAATGATACTTTTATTAAAAAAATCTTTGAAGTAGGGTGGTCCACCTCCACCATCTTGATTTTTTTCCCCAGTAAAAAATGTCTGCCATATGTGGACTGTACCCCAGGCGTTGTGCCAGGCACTGAGGATAGAAAGTAAGGGAGATGGAACACGAGGCTCCCATCAGAGGTGACCCCCGAGAAGGGGAAATAGCCATGGACATAACTAAAAATAATGTAGAAAATACCTTGCATGTAGTAAGCACTCAGCAAATGTATGCTGAATTGAATTAGCATCAGAAGAGATAAAGAATTAGGGTCGTTCAGAAGAAGGAAGAGAAGAGGGACAATTTCTAAGAAAGCTGTTTCTCTGAGGAACTTAACAAGGGTTTCTTGGTACTCACACCTGGCAAGTGTGATTAGTAAGCGATCACAAGTCCTTGTCTAGTCTCAAGCCTGGCGTCTCCTCCAACCATGGACAGAATGGTTGGCCATTTCAAGTGAATTCTGCATCAGTCCATGTAGGGAGAAGAGTTGATTCATGTATGTAATCATTTTTTATGAAAATTAAAAAAATAAAAATGTCTATGAATTTAGATGACTTTAGCATAAGAAGCAACCATGAAAATAAGCTAATGTGTAGGTAGGGTTAACTCATAGATCTTTTCTTCCAAAGGAAGAGAGATAGCCCAATATATAAAACATTTAAACAGACCTTTCTGGATAGAGAGACTGAGAGCATGAGAGAGCCAGGGAGAGAGGTGAGAGTTGGAGTGGGGATTATGCCCATAGATCAGTTTGCTTGCCAATACTTCCAACCCCATGGTTTTTATTATTATTTCTCTCAATACATCACTGAAATAATAAGACTGCTATTGCTTTCAGTGATTCAAACTGACATTTAATTGATTATGATAAAATAATGAACATTTTTCTCATTAAAATTATTACTATAAATTTTAATAGTAATAATTAAATTATGTTAGTGCCTCCTAACATAATTCTGTTCTTGTACAGTGGTTACAAAGCCGTAATTTAGATTCCTATCAGGGTTAATTGAACTTATTTAAAAAATAATAGTGGAAATAATATTTAGTCCTAAATTGGAATCTACAGAAATGCTGAATTTCTTGTTCTCACAGTTTTAACTGTAGCTTAATTGAGTTTTTGGAGCCATTTGTGAGCCTTCTCTCTCAAAAGTAGAATATCTGCTAGGGCAGTGCCAGGAGTCTTGAGAGGAAATAGACTAAAAAGGAGAAAGCTTTTAGGGTCGAATCTGTAAATTTGGCAACTGATCAAACAAAGGAATAAGAAACAAACAGGAATCTAACCGTGATGCCCTTAACAGAAAATGGACACCCTGGTGGAACAGCAAAGCTTAGCTGGGAAGACAATGGAGTTTGTGGGGCGGGGGATGCATGCAAAGGAAATGTTGATCATTATTTAGTAAGAAGAGATTAGAATTCAGGAGGAGATCAGAGTGGCAGCATTAGCCACAGAGCTAAGGTTGTATTGCAGCGTGGTATTACCCACATAGGCTGAGAGATTGATCAGAAAATAAGTTTTAAGGGAGCTTGTGAGTGAAGGGAAATCTGACGAGGGGAGCAGGATATGGCTGCCGGCAGCTTTGGACACGTAGAGCAGAACCGGAAGCCAGTGTTTGCTGTCTGTCGACCTGGGCATCCAGGAAAGTCTGTCTGTAATGGGGGAGGGAAAGGTGGGTGACAGGTCCTAAAGGACAGGATTCTTAGGGGGACAATGCACTGAGGGGAGAAATTAGGCAGGAGGAGAGCAGGGAAGAGTCATCCTGAATGGGAGTATGGCAGAGTGCTCATAAGATAGCAGGAAATCCTAGAGAATCGAGTACTTTCTAGTGGCCCCGATGAAGCCTAACTTTGTGTAGCACAGAGGAAAGAACAGGGAAAAGGCATAGCCAGGCTAACCCTGGCCTTGAATCCGGGGTCGTTGCCAATGAACCTGGCTTCAAGACGTCCAGGACCACAGTTCAGTTTCTGAGTCAAGGCTAGGGAGGCCCCTTGTATAACTTAGCTTCTAATGTAAAATTAAAGCCTCAGCTTTCAGTTTTCATGCTTTATAAGTACAAATGACAATTGGAAACAAGCAGAGAGCTGATTTCCCAGAAGAAATAAGCGGACTAGAATTAGATCACCGCGTCAAATAAACATTAGGACTCTATCTGTAATTCTAGTCCCCCTTAACGTTTTGGATCTAAACCAGAGCTTTGGTGAACCTCAAGAGGCCGGCTTAAAAGACCACAACTAGCGACTGCCTGGGAATGGCTTCAAAATAAGAGGAGGAGTTTGGAAGATCAGACAGCGTGTCATCTTGGAAAGTTATTAAATATCAAATGAATTAATATATGTCAAATGCACAGGACACCCTATACCTGCTCAATCAATAAATGGTAGCTTCTACTATTAATGTCACTTCACTATTACTTTCCTGAAATGAAGAAATATAATTTTCATTAAACCTTGAGAATAGAAGGACAGAATGCCAGAGGGAAGAACTTTTGTTTCGTGTTTAGTTAAGCCTAACTTTTTAAAAAGATGAAAATGTAAAGATCAGAGAGGTAAGGTGACATAGCCAAGCTCACACAGCTAATGGCTAGGTGGGAACTTATGTCACAGTAATCAATAATCTTTCCTCTTGACGTAATTTGTTTCGCTGAGTGTTGTGAGGTTGTAACAAATGCTTTAGGTTCGTTAAATAAATGCACTTTTGAATATTAATTCATTATTTCTTGATATGGAACATTATGTTAGGCCTGATGCCAAGGTGGGCAATAACAGAGGGAGTTCGAAGAGAGGTTTGAATGGAAGAATATAATCTCAGTTCCAGGGAACCTTTTTCCATTCAGAAAAAGTGAATTTATATTGTTTGTTGAAGTGAATATGGCTATCTGGCTTACATCTCCAGCAGTTCAGACAGGGAATCAAATAATTAT